AGTGAGGCTGACAGTGGAAATAAATCATGTGTTAAAATTCATTAGCCAAGCCTATCAGAGCACAAAATGACAAGACATTAACTATAGATTATTTATGAAATGTCGACTCTCGCTGAAAAGAAGGTCTAGTACTGTTAATTAGTCACTTATTCAGTTAGAAAAGACTATTTTAAATGGAAAGTGAAAACTACTCGGCAAGCAGGAAGAGCTTGTAATTTTTAAAAATGACATAGGTGGAAATGGAGTAGCTAATTACGGCTATTCTGAAATTCAAAGTTAATTTGGAAACGCATTTGACAAGAATATTGACACCCCCCCACCCAGCTTGGGATGGACTATGCTGCTGGGTGTCCTTTAGTGTCCATCAGTGATGGGGTGGGGGTTTGATGTCATATGAAAAATAGAAACTTTTAAATCTCAGAGCCTATTGAGCATCTAAACGTTCCTTAATAGTTCATTGATCGGTGATCATATGTAGGTTTTAATTAAGTTTACAGAGCTGCGATCAGTCGCTTTACGTGACCGTTTTAGTGTGACATGGTGATCTAATGCCAAGGGACCACCCCCCCCCCACAGGAAAGAGGCAGCGGGCTGAAAGCGGAGCCCGTCTGCTAAGTGAACGGTGATAGCGGCCATGATGGGAACAATGGGAGTGCTGCCCATCGCCAGTCTGTACCCGGCGCTCCGACACAGGCAAAATAATTACCAACACGGAAAACCCACAGAAAGGGAATCGCAGGTCTGGGCCTCCTGATCCCATCGTCATGACAACGCCTACACACTCATTTGTGTTGTAGATGAGTAATTACTACCTAATTAAGCAAAAGTTTGGGGGGAAAAAAGTAATGATTAAATTGAAAAAGCCCCAAAACAAACAAGCTTGGTCAGGCCACGTGGTGCCATCTGGAGATTTGTCACTGAAATGAAGAGGAACTGGAAGACGGAACCAAAGCTAAGTCCTATGGCCTTTTTTTTGGGGGGGAGGGTTTACCCCCCCCACACGCACACCCAAGGGTTTCCTCTCGGTGAGATTCAGGGGGCCATTTGGTCCCACGCAGAATGCAGTGTAAAGGTCCACTGCAGACATCGGCTAAGATGAGGATAGAGAAGCTACAACTCCAGTGGAAAGAGTGGGCAATTCTTTGCAAAACAGGCGGCTTGTTAAAATAAGTACAGTAGACTCGTAAATACTGTGGTAACGATATTGCAGCCCTCGGGGGGGGGGGGGGGGGGGGAGTGAATACCGTGCTCGCTGGGCTCTGACTGGCAAGGTGCGCGAGGTGTGTTTGAGAAGCTGCGAATTGGCGTGAAGAGTACGGGGAAAGGCACGGGGCCCGGATCCAGCACGCATGCACGGAAACATTTTGGATTTGTAGCCAAGTTGGCCTTAAACTCAAGGAGGCTGGGAGTCTGTGACCTTCCACCTCAGCGCCACCTAACAGCCAATCAGTGCTTTCTTGTGTGATGCCTGTATGTTTAATGAAATGGTCGCTGATCATCTTATCTCCAGACTTGAGGTGTTTTATGGCATTGCTGATTGTGCCATCAAGAGTGGGGAGTCCTGCTCTCCTTGGCTACACCTCCCCAGGGCCCTCCTCCAGTTCTTCCAGTTCTCCCCAACCCCTTTTGTGTCCGTTTCTATTTTTACCCGTTCTCCAGCTGCTCCCGCATCTCCCAGGATATTTAGCGGCCCCTGTTTCTCCCCGGATGTCTGGGCTCGCGTACACATGCGCGGACACACGCCATGAAAGATCGCTGAGCGCATCGCCCACGGCCCCGGCGAAACTCGCATAGCTAGCTAGCTATTTATTTCATTCTCCATTTATTTTTTTTCACCCCGAGTCGACACCGGGTGGCAGCGCCCATAACTTCCAGGAGACATCAGAGGAGAGCCATTATTATGGCGGGTTCAGACTCTCCGAAATGTTGTTTAATTCAGTTCCGCTTCACACTTTTTCGCTCGGTTAAAGTGAATCATTTGCATCAGCTCCGAAAAGAAAATTAGCTTGGGAAAGATAATCAAGCCATTCGATTCTTCCAGATGGCGGATTCGCCGTCTCTGTAGTCCATAAATGGAAGCTTTTTAACTTCATTTTATTCTATCATTTTACACAGATAGCACTATCATTAGAAACAATCTACCTGAATAATAAAGGTAATTTTGCCTGGCTTTATTAGATAAGACCTTTTCGGTCTCGAGATGTGTGCAGCTGAGGGCTAATTTTCCGTGTCACTGGAAACATAGCTGCCAGGTGTATTTGTTGTGTGCATCTCGACGGCTCAGTCTCACATCTTGTCTTTCCTGCCGACCCGAAATCGTGGGGGGTTGGGAGGGGGGGGGATACCAGGAGCTGCCATTTGTCACGGCTCAGCACCCGGCGCATGTTTCTGGACCGCGCTCACTGACAAAAGGGACCCTGGGGGCGCATATGCCCCCGTACCGTTTTAACTAAGGGGGCGATTGTACGGCGGCCCGTCGAAGGGGCCACGTTTTTGTTTGTTGTTAAAGATCTAATTAGAGAGATGAGAGGAAACGGAATGGCGTCTTTGCTCGTCTAATTAGAGGAACACACTGCGGCCTCTTTGAACCTCAAGGACAGGCTGCTGTTAGCGCTCACATCAAAAATGGATTAGGCCCGAATGCCTTGTTTTTTTTGTTTGTTTGTTTTGCATTTAAATAATTAAAGATGAGCTCCTCTTATAGAAAGCGAGTGATGCTGCACAATCCCATGCCGGCATAGCAAAAGCAAGAGGGACAGAGAGAGAGAGAGAGAGAGAGAGAGGGAAGAGGCTAGGGGCTTTGGACAAAGCACTCTTTTTACCCTTTCATCCTTGTCCATTTCCATACCGTCCCCACAGGGAGGGCCGTCTGCGACTATTTTGATTATCACATTTTCTACGTTAACCATTCTTCTCTGTGTCCCCCCTCCCCTTACTCCCCACCCGACTGTCATCCACACCTTGCGTGGGGGCTTTATGCTGATGTACTGATTTCAGGAAAGAGTCCTGGAGAATGGGCACAAGGGCAGGCGTTTCAGAATGATGTCGGTGCCCCCTTCTACGAAGGTGTAACCCTGAGACGTGAGTCACCGAGAAGGTGGTGGTGGGGGGGGGGGGTAGGGGGGTGTTGTGCATGGGAAATATGGGCACTGTGGCTGTCATCTCTGGCAGGCGTAGACGCATCGACGTCTTGTATTTCGCCTCAATCTGATGGATGCCATGCCGTCTCTTTGTCAGTGAGTGCAGGCCTCCCGCCAGCCACGGTAGTACTGGTTTGGGGGGGGGGGGACTTGGGATTCTTCCGGTTTAATGTTGATGTGTCCCTCCGACTGGAAGGATACCCTCATGCACGTGTGCGGCCTGAACGTGCCCACACTGAGATAATCCGAGCTCAGTGTGGGTGATCTGTAGACCTTCGGTGAAAATGCAGCCTTGATACTGCAGACACTCGTGTCTGGCTGGTCTCCCTCCCAGGTAATCGGGCACTCTTTCCCAGTTCGTTCTCCTGAGATTGCTTAGTAGGTATGCACCACGCATGCATCGATTTCACATCTTTCGTTGTTTAACCAGAAAATGTAGCACAAACCGAACACACAGCGAAGTCCCGCCCACTCAGTGACGCCTTCAGCAGAGAGTGTTCACGCGGTCGTTCAAGTGACTCAACACACTTGAAATCACCCCTCCCTCCTGCTCGTTGTGTCCGGGTGGTCTTCCAGTGCATTTAGCAGGCCGTGTGCGCTGGCTGACTTGTTTGTGCTGGTCCTGGCAGGAAAAGTGGTGGCCCCAAGCACCAGGGTGACGCTGGTGAGGTGGTAATTAATAGGAATTTGGCGACATTAGGAGAATGGCTGCCCTTCTGTGGAACAGAGCACCGAAGGATCGATTTGCACGAATCGAGTTCTCTCTCTCACTCTCATTCATTTATTTATTTTATTTTATTTTATTTTATTTTATTTTATTTTAATCCAGTCACGTCACAGGTTGTCGGGGGTGATGCTGACTTTATGCTGCTGTTTGTGCCCAGATAGGCTCCTCTGAAACTAATTAACAGGAAGGGCAGTAGGTGAAAACAAGCGTCTGGACTTACTTACCCCGCAAAGACCGGACGTGTGTGTTTTTCCCATAATGCCTTTGACTGATAACTGGATGGCTGATGAGAACTGTATTTTTTGGGGGGCGGGGTTAAATGTGCTGACTTATCTTGGGTGTAAGTGTTTTCTCGTTTCTGTGCACACAGTATTTTTTTTTTGCGTAAGGACACTTCATAAAAAATAAAAAAAAAGCATTTTGTCTTCTCCGGCGCCTCTGATATGCAGCCGTTTGTATTCCACTGGCAGGGCGCCATCTCTTGAGCCCTTAATTTGAAAAATGGGCATCCAGCCAATGCATGGTGACACCGTAGGCATAAATCTGTTGACAGTGCGTGTGCGCGCGCGTGTGCGTCATGCTTGTGTGTGCGTCTGCCACATGCATCGCCGTAGAATGTTCAGCGATGGGTGTCGTGGCAACAGCCTAGTTACTACGGGGTGGGCGTGGCATCCCTTTCATCAGTTGTGTTTGACTCCGGAATGCCGACATAAACAAACACGGGCGGATGGGAATGGTTCCCACGTGGACGTCTTGAGCCGTGGATTAGCTCTGCTTGGGGGTGGGTGGGTGGGGGGGCATTGTTTTAATAGTCTCCTTGTCAGAGCAGGGGGTGTGAGATTAACATGATCCTCTATAAATGTCAGCGCACCTTCATTCTGAGAGACAGGTTTTATCACGTCCCCTCCTCTATCAATATAAAAACGGTTTATTGTCATCGTCGGGATAAGGCTGGAAAGCGAAGTGCCTCATTTTACCATTTGTAATGTCCCACTGTTATTTTACGGTTAAGGAATATAATCTTACGCCTCTTCTGCTTCAGTACAATGGGTCTTGAAATTTAGTTGTATAAATTCTGATTTTCATGAAGGAGAACACGGACCTAATCGCACAGATTCCTGCACTCAAATCTGAAATGAAGTATTGATCTGGGAATTGTAGGCCTTTTTTATATAAGAAAGTAATTTTTCTGTCCTTGCGCTGCTGGAGAAATGCGAGTTGACACCGGTTGCATTTGAATTTTTTCATCAGAAAGGGCAAACTCGGCGGAAGATTGATTGATGTGTGAATGCAGTTTCGTTTTATCTGTGGGCCAACGGTAGTCCTCCCTCCCGCGCAACCTTTACCGTCGCATCGACGTTCGGCGAGTTACAGACAGGCTCGATGGTAATCTCCGCCTTGACGGCGGTGCTGTCTGCCCTCGCTGGCGGTACGGCCCGCTACCCGGTGTGGCAGGTGGGAGGATTGCGAGGCCCCCCGGGGGTCTGTCAGACGTACGCCAGAGGGGGAAGGGAAGGGAAGGGGGGGGGGAGCGACCCCTGGTCCACGGATGTGTCCTTTATCTTACTGCCACACAAGCCCCGTGCGCCACACAATTGTGTCATGAAAATTAGTGAGGAACAGAAAAAGTATTGACACTGCTGTGAAGTTTTTCCGCAATGATGGAGTCCCCCCCCTCCCCCCCCATACTGTATCTCCCAGGGTTCCCCGATTACGGTTTCTATTCCACGCCCAGTGACCACCGGGGGCCCCCCTGCTCCTTTGCGGACTATGGCTCCCTGGGCCCCCAGGCTGCTCAGATGCTGCAAAGTGAGCATGCCACCTCAGCCTGCAACTCCCCCCTCCAGCACCTGCACAGCCCGGATCAGTTTAAGAGCCCAGGTTTGTACACCCTCTGCCTCCATCGGCTTCACTCCATTTCGGCTCATTGACAACTTCAAGCCATTCATTTATTTTATTTAATTATTATTACTTAATAATTAATTAATTAATTGATTATTGCCCCATTAGAAGTATATATATGTATCTTTTGGATGATTTTGGCTGCCACACAAATCCTTCTCCCCACAGCCTGTAGGGGGCACCTGTAGCTTGGTTGCAATTGGTGCATTAATGACTGACGGTGCAGCACCGGGAGCCTGTGATTTGGGTGGTGGTGGGGGGGCAGTGTAGTGCAGTTAGAGACAGTGGCCACAGAGGGGCGCCGGACGATGTGCTCTAACCATTAACCATTCTACTTTGCGAATCATGTATAAACATGCCCCTCGTGTGTGCGTGTGTGTGCGTGTGTGTGCGTGTGTGTGTTTTGGTTTAGTTTTGCTTTCATTGCGATTTCTTCTGCGTAATGAAACAAAATTGAGAAATGATAAATGTGATTGAATTAGAGCCACTGCATGTTTGTGTGCTGGATTAGCTTCCTGGGAGTGTGTTTGGGTGTGAGGGGAGCATCAGCGTGGACCCAACAGAGGCATTTCTCTCCTTTGGTCAAAAGATGAACTGTGTGTGTCGGTCATTTTTCTGAAGGAGATTTTTTCTTTAATGGAATTTTCACTTCTGTCTCGTTCATTTTTTGTTGGCCATTTTTTGGTGCCCTGCCCACAATGAACATATTTTCAGTCCAGCCTAATTTTCTTGAAGTTGAAATTAGCCTTTGAATGTGCCTTGAACTCTGTCTAGCTTTAGAATTATTATTTTAACCACAGAACATCTGATTTAGTAGGTGAGCTGTAGGTCCTCTTCGGGTGACACACTACAGTGGAAACAAAATGCGTGTTTTGCCCTCTTGCGGGCATGTCTGACACTGGCGCGATTGTTCCATAGAAGGTGAAATCACATGACCGCTACCCCGCCACAGCCATTACCGCCGACACTGCAGCGAAAAGTAGGTTATGCAGATACCTACCCCCGAGATGTGTCCTCCACCCCACTGGTGCCTCCTGCTGTCCGCTGCTTTCCCAGTAGAAGTCGATATTTTCCACGAACTCAGGACACGGGAGGTCTGGCCGTCATCCAGTTCTGATGTTTACTGGTGTGGAAATGGCCCAGTTTTAGGAATCCGACCAGCTGGAGCTTTTTCTACATACGGTCACCTGCTTCACGTTATATAGGAATAATATACGGAAAATAATCTTATACATATAAGCTGATAAAGACAGGTGCAGGGTAATGGAATATTTTTGGCATTAAACCATGGTGTTTGGTGTGGTGTTTATGGGTGTGTGGTTTTAAAATGACATAAAAATGTCGGGATGCTGCTGCGACTGCAGTGGACGGCCGTCCCTGATAATTGATTATCTCATCTGCAGTGCATCTGGGGTTGAGCCCCCTTTTGCGAGTGTAAAGTAAACACTTTATAAAAGGGGGCAATGTTTATAATGATACGCAGAGAGGGCACACCAGGAGCACCCCCCCCCCCCCCCCCCCCCCCCCCCCGGGGACTGGAAGCGGAAACCCTTTAAACTTTCATCTCTCTGTCCGAGGTCAGGGGGGGGGGGAGGCATCGGAATACTAACCAAGCCGACTCCGGTTTCCATGACACTCAGCGCTTGATTGGAGCAGCGGAAAGTTGGGGGGGGGGGCTGGGCGTGAATATATCCTGTGTTATTTATTTTTTTTCCGCGCCTTACATGTTTACATACTCGCTTACACAAGTGCACTATGTAATTGTGCGTGTGACTTGAAGGCCCTTGGTGGTGAGCAGGCACACTCGTCCATAGCGCGAAGGTCCACGTGACCTTCACCCATGCGTCACTTTAGAGCCGATCGTCGTCAATGCAAGTTTGAGGTGTTTGAAAGTGATTTTGTCCTCCTGTAGTGCTGTCGGCTTTCCGTTAAGGTTGGTATTTTGTATATTTCGTGACTTATGATAGTAATGATGACAGTAGCTGTGTGATTTTGTGCTGTAGTCCTCTACTGCGAATGATCATTGTAATTTTAATGCTTTAGTCTTCCAGCACCAATAGTCACTTGGTCTCTATGATTCCTTGACTATATAACAACACTTGCAGTCTTCGCCTCTGCATTTGCTTCTGGTCTAAGCAGGAAGTCCTGACCTGTTTATTCGGCACCATCCACACCCAGCTGGTCCAGAAGCACCTCTTTTTTTTTTTCTGGGGTTTTTTTTCCCCGGAAAGTACAGCGTAGCCAACTGGCGATAAAACACTCATCGGGTCAAGTTCTGCAAATATTTTTTTTTAAACGATTGTTCTTTTCTTGTTTTTGTTTTCATTAAAAAGAGCATAATTATCGCGCTATGAAAGGTGCCGGCTGTAACGTGCAGCTTGGCGCCTCGCCAGTTAACGCCCGATAAGGACCCCGGGTGTGTGGCCATCAAAGTGAATGACAGCCACTGGGTTTATATACGTATTGAATGTGAAACTTGTGCTTTTAAACGACGACTGGAGTTTCGTGTTAATTTGTGTTCAAAAGGAATATAAAATTGTGGAACGAGTCGTCTGCCGCGGCTGCTGTGCTTGGATAAGGAGCCTGAAGGCGGCCTTCGAAAGCTTGATATTAACCAGTAATGTCAGTCCATCGTGTGTGTGTGTGTGTGTGTGTATGTAAAATAGGGCTGTCAGTCAATTAAAAAATTAACCAATCGCACATTTTGCAATGAATTTATCACGATTAATCTGATTAAAAACATCTATTTTCTTCTTAAGAATAAAGCTTGTTATACTACATATTTAAATGTAAAATCAATCCCCAAATTAATGTAGAATAATCACAAAGGATGTGTATTTCAGGTATAACAATGTAGCAGGGCATGCATGACAACTGTCATTTATATGGTTGGCCCATAATGCTCGGCGCAATGACGTCATTAGTCGTGGTGTTAATCGCGTTAATTGCGTTAATTTACTTTAACGTGTTAATTATTTTAAGTAAATCGTGCGTTCATTTTGACAGCCCTAATATATAATTGTATATATATTACATCTCTTCTCGCTGCGATCTCGCAGTTTGATTCGATGCGACATCCCGTGATCGTTCGGCCGACTCCAGCCGACATGTCCAAGTCACGGAGCTGTGGTTCTACGTTTGAGTGCATCAGAGGGCACTCACAGTTATTCCTGCGCGGTAATGGCCTGCTGGGCCGGTGCTCCCAGTTTGGGGGTGCCGTCTTCCGCCCAGCGTTTAAACACGGCTTCCTGGCAGTCGATTTACTTGGGTCTGTTTGCACTGTAGATGAAGGTTGGTGTTTTGGGTATTGGCTGCCCACCAGAGGTCAATGAACTCACCTGCGTGTTGCCTTAGGGTGCGTCTGTGTGTGTTTGGGAGACAGAATACACTCCCTGCTCTCTCTCATGATGACTTTGGCTATGAGAAAGGTTCTGCTTTGAAGTTGGGAGCGACATTTTGTGTCCAGTTATTAAGAAAGTAAGCAGGAAGTCTGATTCTAGGGTGATAACGGCATGATGCAATACGTAGCTTTTTTCCGACATTGGTATTTCCTCTGCTGCGTCGCGACTTGATTTTTTCTAGTCAGAAATGCTTGTTTTTCTTTCATACTTGTAAAACAGTAAATTGAGTTTTCCCTTCCGAATCCCGGCACCGCGTTTTTTCCGCCAGGATATTCTTGACAGCGATTTAATAACTTTTTAGCTCGTGTCTCTCGAAATCTCAGGCACTAATAGTCTTCCTTTCAAATGAATTTCCCTCCGATCTAAAAGCTTTTGGCCACATAAGAGCTTGATTTAATATTCCTTTTATTAATGTGAGGGCCATTTACTGCTGTTTATAAAGAAAAATGAATACGGCGCAGTCAGGGGGGGCGCAAAGTTCTGTGGTTTTAATTTGATCTGCGCATTTATTTTTATTTATTTTAATTTGTTTTTGAAAGCAGACAAATTGGAGGTCGTCTGGAGCTGACAGCAGCAATGGCTCGAGTGGTCTGTAACAATTAGGGCAATTTAAGACCCCCCCCCCAGGGTGACTCTCCTGCTCCTCTCTGTCCTCCTTATTTTAATTGCCGTTGCATTATTGGTCTGGGAGTCACGCCGGTTGCGTTCCAGTTTCGGTTCTTCCCTATCGCGCCCCCCACCCTGCTGCGTGCAAGCACCCACACAAATTACCAAGGTCATGCGGTTCTCAAGTTCAGGGCTTTTCAGGGTGCAAACCCCCCCCCCCCCCCCCCCCCCCCCCCCCCCCCCCCCCCCCCCCCCCCGGGGAC